TCGAGTCGCTCGTTCAGAGACGCTAAACAGTTTTTTTGACAGTCTCTCTCATCGACACCAGAGGGACTCGATGAGAGATGGAAACTCGAGTCTCGCTTTCAGAAATTCTAAAAGACTGAACATTTTTATTCGAGTAAGTTCAACTGAAACAGCTTCTTTCAAAATTACTTCCTTATAAAACACTTATTATTTGTAACTACTTCTCCTTATGTATTATTTTAACCTTTCAATATACCGTTAGTGAAACGAGTCAATTTATTCGTTCGTTTTGTGCCATGGTTGATTGTTTTGTTTGTTTCATTACCCTTGTCCAAATATTCAATTACCTCAATTGATCTAAATGCTGTGATTGCCATTTAATTGTCCGATAATAATTGAACCCTCATACCAGACATAACTATTACGATAACTAGCGTAGGTATTAAGCGAGCATTGCAGAAAGCAGCGTCTATTATAAACGATCCATAATTTATTATTCCATTGCATAATGTTGCCTACTCATTCGGATTTCAATTTGCAAGGTTCTGTGTACAAATAATATTATTATCAACAATAATAATAGTAACAGTAATAAAAGTGGTAATGGTAGTTGAATGCATGTATATTCTTGAATTTACAAAAGGAACTGAGCCGCCTGTAAGGTGCGGCTCTTGGGATAATGTAACAATTGAAACCTTAGTGGAAGAACAATAGATTTACAAATATAATTATTATGTTCGACGATGCTTCGAAAGGTCATTTGAAATTACGATGTATCAAAGCTGTTGACATTACAAGTATGAGACATATGATATATTACAAGCTTTCTGAGCTATTTGAGGTCCTAAATACGTGTCAAATGTCATCAAAAATACAATAATTTGATAAATACTCTTGACCAGGATCATCAGGATAAAACTAAAGGGTAAAGATCTAGATGATGGCCCCCACCCCCTTAGGGGGATCGAAAGAGGAGGTCTCTCCCACCACTGTACCATAAAAAGTTCGTGGCGGTCTCACCCCCAGGAAAAGTTATGGGGGTGAGGGTAGGGGGATAACTTATTATGGGGGTTCAAAGTTAATAAATATGCCAATTTTTATACATTTCTAGGCATGTAAATATTTATAGCATCATTCTTAAACGATATTCAAAGGTAAAACTACTATACATAAAAATATTGAGAAAGTTATATAAAACACTATTTAAATATCTTTCACAATAGGGTAGGTTAGGTTAGGTTAGGTTAAGTTTTCGGGTTTTGTTCAAGTGACCACCCTCTTTCGANAAAAACTGTCTAGCGTCTCTGAACGAAAGACTCGAATCTTTCAATAAGTGCTGTCTCGATAGACATGGTTAAAAGTTCAACATATTTCAGAGATCCCAGTCTTTCTACGAGAGACTCGAGTCTTTCAGTTTTCCAGTTTTATTCATTCAGTCTCTCTGTGAGAGACTCGAATCTCTGAATTAACAATTTTATCGAGAGAGACTGTGAGAGATCCATAAAAACACCTAGGCAATAACTGTGAGACTGTGAAAGACTGTGAGAGACGCTCCCAGAGACTCTGAAAGACTGGAAATTTTTGTCTAGGGAAATAGCCTGGGGTTCCCATTTTTGCTAATGGAAATACCAATTTTTTATTGTATATTTCCATTCCACGGAAATCAATAAATATATATATGATTTTTAAGGGAACTTTACGCGGGTCCAATACCAACAACTGAATTGACAAGAACCTATCTCCTCGTGTAAGTTAATAATTGAAAAATTACCTTAACTAGACTTGACCCCACGGGGTCATTTATTGCAATGGTTCAGCAGCTACTAGAAGTCCCTGTCCTTAAAGACATAAAGCAGAAATCCTACGAAGTTGAAAAAGAACATCCAGTGGTATAACTCATTACAAAAATATCTTTTATAACCAAAAGACGACTTTAGAATCTATAATGAGCAAAAAATCTCTGGTTTTGATTACTGACAAGAACTAAATTAAAAAAATATTAATTGTTTTCGTGTAGGTACAATCTTAAGTAATTGCTTTAAGATCTTTTTACTCAACCCCTTTTAATGTACATATATATGTATTACTAATTTCATTAAAAAAACATTTTACTGAATATAAACAGCAGACTTCTTGTGTTGATACGTTTTTAATGTTATAATGAAGTCATTAGAAGTAATTATAACTCGAAAAGATCGTCATGATGAACGTAGTTGGTTGTGGTATTAGCGAGTAACTGAATTTAAGGTCATTAATTGACGTTCCACAAACGTCGAAAGTGTTTGGGCGTTCATCACCTTACAAAAAGCTTATATGTTTCATCCCCATCAACTACTAATTCTGGTAGGTCGGAAAACTTACTTCAGTTTGCTTTTTGGAATCCTAGGAATCAGTGACTGAGGAGAGACGACTGTCGTTCGGCTAGCTCAATTTGACGATAAAATCGTTACCCTGGACAAAAATTTTCAGTCTCTCCAGTCTCTCAATCTTTCAACGTCTCTGAGAGCGTCTCTCACAATCTTTCAATTATTGCCTAGGTGTTTTTATGGATCTCTCTGCATGAGAGACTCGAACGATAAAACTGTTAATTCAGAGATTCGAGTCTCTTACAGAGAGACTGAATGAATAAAACTGAAAAACTGAGACTCGAGTCTCTCGTAGAAAGACTGGGAACTCTGAAATATGTTGAACTTAGAAAATTTTAACCATGTCTATTGAGACACCACTTATTGAGAGTTGAGTCTCTCGTTCAGAGATTCGAGTCTCTCGTTCAGAGACTGGATACGAAATGAAGATCTCTGAACGAGAGACTCGAGTCGCTCGTTCAGAGACGCTAAACAGTTTTTTTGACAGTCTCTCTCATCGACACCAGAGGGACTCGATGAGAGATGGAAACTCGAGTCTCGCTTTCAGAAATTCTAAAAGACTGAACATTTTTATTCGAGTAAGTTCAACTGAAACAGCTTCTTTCAAAATTACTTCCTTATAAAACACTTATTATTTGTAACTACTTTTCCTTATGTATTATTTTAACCTTTCAATATACCGTTAGTGAAACGAGTCAATTTATTCGTTCGTTTTGTGCCATGGTTGATTGTTTTGTTTGTTTCATTACCCTTGTCCAAATATTCAATTACCTCAATTGATCTAAATGCTGTGATTGCCATTTAATTGTCCGATAATAATTGAACCCTCATACCAGACATAACTATTACGATAACTAGCGTAGGTATTAAGCGAGCATTGCAGAAAGCAGCGTCTATTATAAACGATCCATAATTTATTATTCCATTGCATAATGTTGCCTACTCATTCGGATTTCAATTTGCAAGGTTCTGTGTACAAATAATATTATTATCAACAATAATAATAGTAACAGTAATAAAAGTGGTAATGGTAGTTGAATGCATGTATATTCTTGAATTTACAAAAGGAACTGAGCCGCCTGTAAGGTGCGGCTCTTGGGATAATGTAACAATTGAAACCTTAGTGGAAGAACAATAGATTTACAAATATAATTATTATGTTCGACGATGCTTCGAAAGGTCATTTGAAATTACGATGTATCAAAGCTGTTGACATTACAAGTATGAGACATATGATATATTACAAGCTTTCTGAGCTATTTGAGGTCCTAAATACGTGTCAAATGTCATCAAAAATACAATAATTTGATAAATACTCTTGACCAGGATCATCAGGATAAAACTAAAGGGTAAAGATCTAGATGATGGCCCCCACCCCCTTAGGGGATCGAAAGAGGAGGTCTCTCCCACCACTGTACCATAAAAAGTTCGTGGCGGTCTCACCCCCAGGAAAAGTTATGGGGGTGAGGGTAGGGGGATAACTTATTATGGGGGTTCAAAGTTAATAAATATGCCAATTTTTATACATTTCTAGGCATGTAAATATTTATAGCATCATTCTTAAACGATATTCAAAGGTAAAACTACTATACATAAAAATATTGAGAAAGTTATATAAAACATTATTTAAATATCTTTCACAATAGGGTAGGTTAGGTTAGGTTATCGGGTTTTGTTCAAGTGACCACCTTCATTCGATCCCCCACCTCCACCCGCTTGAAAATATCTTTTTTATTGAATTTTATTTGAATTATAGTGCATGAAAATTGTCAAAATAATTAATTCTCAACCCCCATAACTTTTTATGGGGGTGAGATCGCCGCAAATTTTTTATGGGGTTTTACTCAGGTGACTACACTCCTTCGATCCCCCTACCCCCACCCCCATAACTGTTCATGGGGTTGAGACCGCCACGAACTTTTTATGGTGCAGTGGTGGGGGAGACCTCCTCTATCGATCCCACCCACCCCCACCCTTCTTCTTCTTTTATCCTTCGGGAATGAGCAGGCAAGGTGTGAAATGGTAATAAATAAACTCACATTGACATTTATTATATTAGTTAAGATACCTAACACTAAGATAAAATAAAATAAAAAGGGAAAATTTAACGTTTCTTTTAACTTATATTTACAAGATGTTGTAAAATGTGAATTTGGATATGTAACGATGACTGTGTCACTGTTATTTACGAAATAAAGATGATTCAGAAATATCGGCCACTCATCATTCAGCTAACGTATGTTCCAATTTCATTTGAAAAATTATAAATACTTTTTATACTACCTTGAGGCTCATGAATAAAGAGAAGGTTAATACTTGATTTCAAAAAAAAATTAACAGATCTCGAAAACAAGCGTAAAATTTGTTTGGTCTTTCTGATATTCTGACTGATTGATGGAACGAATCGCATAAAAATAAATTCATCGTCGTCCACTGTTAATAAATTAACAAGCACCTCGTCATAAGTCATAAATTAATGATCGTTTAAAAAATAACATAAAATGAAATAAAAATTCAAATAACCAAATACTACAACAGTTTTCAAGTTTTACGTCTTACAGTGATGTAGAGATTATAAAAGTTCGCATAATTTGTTTAGTTCTATCTAACGATTAGTTGTGTAGAATGACATTTGTTTTGTGTTTTTGGACTTACCACTATCGACCCTTCTTCACCAGCACTGTAAATTGTGGCTCCAAACCATTGTTCTGATTTTTTATCTATTTTTCTACCGAAATTATCGACGTTATCCCCTGAAATAAAAAATTAAATTAAACACCTCTTCGAACCAATATAGGAAATATATAATCCTTCAAATATTTAAGAAAAAATAACGACATCCTTGTAAGAAATAACACCATCACTATCCCAAGCTTAATTGGTAATTCCCTTTGTAATTTTCCCGCAACTAGGACCTCGTCATCCTTCGCATTTTCTCGGGCGTCAGCGTTTGGCCATTGTTTTTTTTCACGGGATGCTAACATCCTTATAATTTATAATAATAAAGCATACTAAGTATCACATTTTTCCCATAGTTATCACTCAAACATATTTATCTTAACATTTTAAAAGATGCAGAACATAATCGGTTTCCCCATATTTACTTCTTAAACTATGAAAAGTATAAATATCACAATGAGAGGCTGGGGTTTCTCGACTTTTTGAAATTTGTATGTAACCCTTTATAACAAGATAAATTGATTTTTCCGACTTCGTAATATAGTTTAACATTCACTACACGTAAATCTTTTTATAAAGTTAGTTTTTAATATTTTACATAAATACAATTTACCAATTCCCTATTACTTTAACTGTTAAAGCCCTACGTGACATAAATAAGTTATTTAACAATTAAAATGCCTGTTTGCGAATTGTCCTCTTACTATTTTTGCATAAGCAAATAATTACTTCCGATAGTCGTAAATTTTAGGAAGTGAATTTTGCTCGTTCAAGGACAGTACGATTACTCATCAATGCCATTTAGGCTTACACCAACATTATAATATAATTTTAACTATAAGAATTTAAGAAACTTCATGATGGCAATATAACTGAATTTCACTGACGTAGGAGCTAAATTAATTACATAAATATATTCATTAATAATTAAAGTAAGTAATAAAATTATTAATAGCAAATTTCTAATGGTTAAGGATACGGTTGTCATTAATTTCCTATTTGTTTGCTATTATAAAGATTTACGTCTACGTGATAAGGTTCATGAGACATTTCTTCAAGAAGGCGCCCAACATTTAATTTATGAGTGTCGCCTTAAAAATAGGACGAATGAGAATATTTTACTCGAATTTAGGATGAAGTGTGGTGAAATCGCGTTTAAAAACCTACGAAGGCGCCCACAACAATAATGAGAAAGTCGCCTAGTTGCTTCCTACACTTTTCTGTCAATATTCTTTTTCAAGGTGCTTATAAGCACAGATCCATATAAGAAAATCAATAAAAGGAAACCAGTTTTCAATAACACTATTTATAAAAGGCATTGGTTTAAAAGAGTAGGTAATGTCTTTTCTAAAAATTGGCATGCTTTCGAGCTGTTTCATTTCTAGTGTTGATTACTCGTCGTCATCTTAGCAGTAAACGTCTAAAACGTTGTACAGGCACGACGAAGGAAGCTGGCGAACGGTCGCGCAGGTACTTGCCCATTTATGACCTATTTGGGTAAGTCACTCGGAACCGATACACAAATAAGCTTTCAGATATTTAATTTAAATGTTTAATCTACGCCGATGATAGGAATACTGAAGAAAGAGGGCTGCAATCATTATACCTAAAACTGCCTACTTTTGCCACCGCGTATCCACGCCATTTTAAAATTTCCGCCAGCTTCCAGCGTCAGGCCTGTATCTAATACTTATAAAGACCGATTAATACCATCGGTCAAGACACAATCAAGTGAAACAATGTCGCAGTCAATTAACCGCAGTACTACCTATTCTTTCATGTCATGAACGTTGGGCAGGAATCAGTTAAATCTGAACTAATGTCATCATTCGCATTGAAGGGACGCGGTCAGGATTGCGACGATCATTTTTAAGACGAGCAAGTCCGTCAAATTTGTCGCTTACCTGTCTGTGTCTTTTTAGTGCTAATCACAAAAAGACATGTCGAATGAGAAACTCATTAAAATAGACATTAAATATAATA